ATCTAGAAAGATTATGAGAAGAAAGATTATTAAGTGAGAGGCTACGCTACGTGTAACTGTTAAATTGAAATTTCATATCTATAATTAAATCTTCCTGTCATCTTCATCAAAAACCTTAAAATGGTCCTTTTAACACCTCAGAAAACAGCAAAGTCCATATTATAGTGTACTGATATTATTAAGCTTACTTTCATGATCAATTTTCTTGAAAAATGTGACACTACACAGAAAATTCAGAGAAACCTGTTTAAATCTTAGCTCTAAAAGGATTTGTAGAATGGCTCCAGTGAATTTAGAAAATCGAACTTAATATGGTGACTTGTTTTATGATGCCACTTAGGAGAGGGTTTCAGATTTCTTTGACCAGATGGATTACTGTCATACCTAATAAGAGACAAGCTAGGGACCATTTTTAGAAAGCTAGGTAAAGAAGACTTTGCATTCTCTGCAAAAAGATAAAGAAATTCAACTCAACCCCACTTAAACAAAAGGTCAGAGAGTTCTGAGGAGCTGATGTAAGCCAGTGCAAAAATAAGGAGTTATTCAGTGTGGTCAGGAGGTCAAATCCCTGTGTATTTTGAAATGGGCATAATTCATCTGAGATTAATTGATGTACTCTGGTAGAACTTCTTAAACTGGGTCTCATAACCTCATATGGGGGTCACAAAACTGAATTTAAAAATCGTGAAAAAATGTCAATAGTAGGTCTCTAAGCACAAAACAATTCAAAAGCAAATGTATAATAAGTCAGAGATATTTTGATCACATTCACCTGTGTAGTATCATGTGACTTCCCTGCATTCTTGATTTTAATGATTGTAAACAGACTTTGAACAGTTTAGGCTGTGACATTACATCACACCAGAAAATTCTACTGAAAAATCTAGGCAGATTTGAGATTTTCATATGGTAATAATTCCAATGGTTTTATTGCCCTCATTTACACTTATTTAAATGTAGTATTTCAACATCAAACTAAATGGAGAAATACAAAGGGATTCCTCTAAAATCAGGAATAAGACAAGGCTGTCAACTTTCTCCATGTCTATTAAATATAGTCCTCAAAGTTCTAGCTAGAGCAATAAGACAACAAAAGGAGACCAAGGGGATATAAATTGGGAAGGAAGAAATCAAACTTCACTATATACACAATATGATAGTATACACAAGTGATCCCAAAAATTCTACCAGGGAACTCCTACTGTTGATAAACACCATCAGTGGTGTGGCTGGATACTGACTCAAAACATCAGTAGCCAACCTATTTGCAAATTGTAAACTCTAGGACAAAGTAATTAGGGAAACAACACCCTTCACAATAGCTACAAATAATATAAAATATCTTGTGGTAACTCTAAGCAACCAAGTGAAAGACCTGTATGACAAGCACTTTAGTCTTTGATGAGGGGAATTTGATAAGATATCAGAAAATGGAAACACCTTCCATGCTCATTGGTCTGTAGGATTAACATAGTGAAAATGGCCATCTTATCAAAAACAATCTATAGATTCAATGCAATCCCCATCAAAATTCCAACACAATTCTTCACAGACATTGAAAGAACAATCCTCAGCTTCATATGGTAAAACAATTGTACCACATTTTTTTTCATTCCTCAGATTTAGGTACATCTAGGTTGTATCAAGGTTCTGGTTATAATGAATAAACAGCTATGAACATAATGGAACAAATATCCTTGTGATAGGATAGATCATACTTTGCGTATATGACTAGAAGTGTTACAGCTGGGTCTTGAGGTAGGTCAATTCTCAATTTTCTGAGAAACTTCCATATTGCATATACCTAAGTCATACAACTTTTTTACAGTGAAAAGGGATTTCAAGTAGGAAAAAGTCAAGAGCACTTGCTATAGAATTCCAAGGATGGGGGATGTCCTTCGGTATGCTGTGAATATATGTTTCTCTTACTGGTGGTTGTATAAATGGTGAATGGGCATTATCCAGGTAGGAAGTATAGGAGGGACTTCCAGACTAGGAGAATCCTGGGAAGGAGAAAGGCAGAGAAACAGTCGACAGCAAGACACCATGTAGCTGTCAAGGAAGAAAGTGGTTTAGGCATCACCAGTAAGCTAAAACCATGTGAAATACATCAATTAATAGAAATGAGTTAATAATTAAGAAAGAGGTAGCTAATAAGAAGCCTGAGAAGTTGTCCAAACAGTTTATAATTAATAGAAGCCTCTGTGTGCTTATTTTGGGACTAAATGGCTTCAGACTAGATAGGACAGAAACCTCCCACTACATCCCTGCTGGTATATTTCTCCTTTTGTATGTGGAAGACAAAAAGATTAATCCCATCAAAACATAGAGTATATAATGAGGTCTGGGAGGTAAGGACAGAGCAGAGTTTCATTTAGGAAATGTCTTCACTGATAATTTTACTTCAAAGGAAGGCTCCCATGTTCTTAAGAAAACTGTCCCTCACTTGTAAAGATGTGAAAATTTTGCATTTACATCTAAGATTACACATAAGTTTGACCACATATGTTTCCTAAAGTAAAATCAGAGGTCAGAGGTCTGGAGTCCAGAGGAAACCTGACTCAAGTATAACAAAGCTGACAGAAATCGAGGTCATCTTGATAACAAACAGATTGAAATTTAGTCATAGAAAGAAATGATAAATTCTGAGCCCAAATGCCTCATTTAGTTCCTGATGACATGCTCTTTATCAAGTTTTGAAGAGAGCTCACTGTATCTTTTATGCATAGTGAAGACTAGATGAGATTATGTGTATAAAAGTACAAAGAATATAAATGCAAATTAGAATATTTCCCTCTCCGGGTCATTGGTTTACAAACATATTACATGCAAAGTTCTTAAAATGCTATGCTTTGTTTTGTCTTTCAACTGCGTTTGGTTTTGGGAATCTCATTGATATTGTTCAAATGTCAGTTCTCATGCATATACACTTGTCTCCTACAAACATAGTCTTAAAAATCATCAAACATCCCAAGTGCACAAATGGCCATTCCCCATGATGGGATACTCTCTCAGCCAAGATACATGGAGGAGGGCCTAAACCATCCCCAATATGATGCAACAGACTTTGATGATCCTCCCATGGAAGGCTTCACCTTCCCTGAGGAGTGGTTGGGGGATGGGATGGGGAGATTGATGCGGGGCATGAGAGGATAGGAGGGAGAGGGAACTGGAATTGATATGCAATATAAAATTGTTTCTAAATTAAAGAAATAAAATTTTAAGATATCATCAAACACAGACACCCATGGTAACTGTAGGCAATCGTCTAATCTTAAGACTTGCCAGTGAAAGCTTTTGACAAGTATCTCAGTCTTATTTATTACCATGGATACTTGCTACCCAATGGGAGGTTCCAGGAGACATTTATTCCCATAACTTAGTGGTAACCAAAGGATTGTCTTAGAAATTCCTCAGCTCAACAATACAGAAATGTCTATGTAAGCAATATAAGTTATAGCATATACCGTGCCACTTTAATAATCTGTACTAGCAAGTATGATTTTTGTTTTTCACTCTTTAGGCAATAATTGCATTGGTCCTCTGTGCGTTCAGAGAAAGACATGGCAATCCTGTGCCTAGGAATATGAAATGTGCAATCTTCTAATCTGATTCTTGTGTGTACTAGGTTTTTCCTTAAATTTTCAGAACTTCAACTGGCATACCCTGTGTTGTATTAGGCACTGCTAGCAACATAACTAGCTTTCACAGTCTCCATATACTATACCAACCCTTTTCTGTCTGTTTGCAATAAATCTGAGGAGGCATGCATGCATTTGTTCTTAAAACCAAGAAGTAAAATAACATCTTAATATAGATTCTCAATTTTACTGGTTTGAGAATAGTTACAAAAAATGACTGTTAAATTGGTTTGGAAATATAAAATTACCCTTCTGGCATAAGAAGTTCTGAAATCAGTTAAACACTGAATTATAACGTGACCTAGGAATTTGATTTTTATGTATACACACAAGGAAATGAAGGCAAGTATGTTGATAACACATACAAGATATCATAGCATTATTTTTACTATAAAACATTACAGAAATGACTCTATTATTTACCAGAAAACGGATAAACAAAAATTGGTCAAGGACTCAGACTTAGAAAAGAATGCAATTCTGATATCTTGTACATACTAGAAAAGCTTATGTATAAGATTATGTAATTATATGATTCTTAACTCTAATTCACAATTCATGAGGTGCCTAAAATAAGCAGTTTTATAGAAAGAAGGTGAAATAGAGGTGATTAAGGCAGGGGGAGGCAGGGAATAGCATCCATTTGCTACGATAGAGAAGCTCATGGAGTAGACAGTGTTGATCTTTGTGTAACTTTATTGATCCATTTAATACTATTGAATTCAATACTTGCCATGGTTAAAATTATATATCGAATGGTACTTATAGCTGAAATTATTAAAAATGACAATTTTCATTCTGCATGTGTTTTACTACACTGAAAATTTAAATTAACATATACACAGTAAAAATTATTACAAGTATTCCATAAAGTATAGAATTTAGATTTGTTATGGCTGAGAATATTGAAATCGAAAGAAAATGCTCCAGATGTGGATTCAGTCGTAGCTTCTAACTGCCGACTGTGACTTGTTAGTGATAAGAATTCAATCAACCTCTTGGCTATTTAACAGTTTACTTCAGTGTAGTTGTGATGACTACAACAGAAATGCATACAAAGTGTCTAACAAGGGCCCTTATCCAAATGCATGTAGGCAGTTCTCACTATACATTATTTAGGAAGATTGCTATTATGGTTTCCTCACTGAAATGCATGCATTGTTCCATTTTAATACCATAAATTGCCAATCTGTAATGGTAGTCTGATAGAGTATATGAAAATTATAATGTCCTTTATAAATACTAAAGTATGTTGGCATCCAGTAACATTTGTTACTTTCTATAAAAATAAAAAAAATATATTATAATGAGCATGGCTTAAATACAGGCTGACTATTGTTTTTTTTTTTCATTCCTTAGTGGTTATGTCTTTGACTATGATTACTACAGAGATGATTTCTACAATAGGTACGTGAATTTTTTAACCTTGTTCTCTGCCATCTGTATTATACTCCATTTTGTGCATTTCATTTACTGAAACTATTAATTAAAATGTTTGAAATAACATTTTGTTACTACAAATTTAAAATGTGAAGTTTCTATAACTGTACTATACATATATCTTCTTACTTTTGTTATGTTTATTGGCATGCAGTAGATTTTGCAATTAGAATTGAGCATTAGAGTTGTCTAACCCTAAAGTTTTGTTGTTAGTATTGAACAACATTTTAAATGTTTAATTATTTTCTAGATCAATTGTTGACTTTGAATTCTCAAAGCTGAGAGTTATTATGACTCCAAAAGAAAGAAAGCAAGAGAGGGGGAGGGAAGGAAGGAGGGAGGGAAGGAAAAAAGCAAGGAAGAAAGGAAGGAAGGAAGGAAGGAAGGAAGGAAGGAAGGAAGGATGGAAGGAAGGAAGGAAAAAAGGAAGGATAAAGGTAACAAAACCTAAAATTGATCCATTGAATTTATTAGAACTGGAAGCTTAAGAGAACCATACAAATTATTTGACTGTGATAAAAGTATAGGAACTATAGGAACACATGACAATTATTTATCACCTTATACTTGAAAACAACAACATTATTTAGAATTTGATTTATGTCTTTATATTATATGTATCAAAATCATTCCAGAGCACAGACATGTACATTTTTCGGGGGGGGGGGGCAGGTTGAGACAGGGTTTCTCTGTGGCTTTGGAGACTGTCCTGGAACTAGCTCTTGAAGACTAGGCTGGTCTCAAACTCACATGTCCTTTTATCAGGTGACTGAGGAGCTGGAGCAAGCATTTGCCTTGTGTTCTGTGAGCCACCATGATTCTTTTTTTTTTTTTTTTTTTTTTTTTGAGGCTAGATCAGCCTCAGTGACTCATCCTAATTGTGCATGTCTCTCCTAAAGTTCTTTTCATATGCAGTTTTGTTGCTGTCTCACATCCTTCCCATAACTTCATTCTTTCCTCACATCATATACATGTTCTTTATAAATGGCAGAAAGAATTGTTTCATTCATTTTACTGGGTCTGCATCTAGACATTTTCAAGTGGCATGCGAAAATGTCTTTGCCTAACCATTTTGGATTTTTTTGATGTATCCATTTACATTTTGTTTGAATTTATTTTCCATGTTATGATTCTAAAGTTATTTGCAGCACCCATTCTTGCTTTTAATTATCTGTTTTTGCTAAATTCCACAAATACAGGGCACATTATAAATGCCTGGTTGCTATGTTAACTGAGTCTAGTCAGCAGTCACCATCCTTTTTGTGTATTTAGAGAAGTGATGTGATTACTGACTTCTTTGTATAATCCAATCTGTACTTTGAGGTGTTAATGACTGGTTAGGTTACGTGTAGTGTTATAAGAAATTTAATTTGTATTTTAGAAAACTTGCTTATGTACCTAATTGTTGAGAAGGAAGTTCATGAATAGTTAGCTCACACACACACACAAAAAAAAAAAAAATCAAATAAAAAAACTGTATGTGCATTTGGAAGAAACAAATGAGTGGATCTATAAATGACATATTTTCCTCAAACTTTAATTTCAAGTACTATTAAAACAAGGGAGTCCAAGGAACTACATAAAAACCTGAGGAAAGGTTTTTAATAGATCATAGAATGCAAAGGACCCAATGATCCCTTGAGAGTTTCCTTCCCACTTGTGAATAATTTTTCAGTTCTCCCAGAAAGCCATTTGGTTCTTTCTGTGTGCTGTCCCATCTCCAAGAACCTCTGACTATCCCCTTCACTTAACTCATGCTCAGCCCACAGTGGAAAGATTCCCAGATTGAATCAGGTTCCCTGGGCCGTCTCCCACCTGGCACGGCTCCCTCCCTCCCAACACTTCCTAGTTGTATTGCTACAGCTCCTTCTGCAATGTGAGGTCTGATCATGTTTGTCTCCCTTTCTGCATGAGCATCACAGGATGTTAACTTGTGTTTGGCTAATAATGGATACTTAAAATATGCAGGTAGTTAATCTCATTAAACACACAGGGCCATTTTGTTCATTACAGACAGAGGCAAACTCACAGCTTGGGCATTCATTCTGGTGCCACAACAGACTACATTGGAAGGCACAGGGGAGCAAAATTAGCTCCACCTTGTGTGTGGCATTAATGTATCCCAAAGCCTGTGTTGGGGTCAAGATCTAAGGAAACACAGCCACTTATTTCGAATTCCTTCTGTAGAATAAAAAAGCTGGTTCTAAAGAATGATTCCCCCAAATTGTTTTATAATGTGAACAATATATTGCTTTTGTTTTCAACATTTAGTAGCTTATAATAATGTGTTCTGAAGGCAATTGCCTACATCTGGCAGCATTAAAATTATCCCATCCCCAAATAATAGACAGTATGAAGATAGTCTTTTTTGTTTTGTCACGTGTTTTATTGTAATATACCAAACTATATGAAGAAAGTCTTTACGTTTACTGAAAACCTTAACTTTTAATAGTTTCATAATCATTTCCTGCTGGAATTATTTAAGATGAAAAACATTGTTTTAATTACTATAAATTTTCATCTAATATTTACTATTTAATGGTATATCAAAATGTTATTGTATAACTCACTTTTCTTAATGTTTTATTATATACAAAATAAATTTCTACTTAAATGAGTTTTCTTTTATCAGGTAGGAATCATAAGTCTTCTAATATTGAACAATCAAATTTGCAGTTGTCTCATTTTAAAAGAAAAGACAAGATGCAGGGCTTGATGAGAAGTCCAGGTAGACAAAGGAGGCTGCTGTGCAAGCCTGACAGCTTGCAGGACCAACAAAAAGGTAGAAGGAGAGAGAAGAAGGAAATAACTTATCAACAATGTTTTCTGATGATCTCAACACATACACTATGGCATGTACCTACTTCCTCTCATATACACACACACACAGTAAAAGAGTAATTAGTTTATAAAAAAAAAGAAAAAACAAACACGTGGTTATCTAAAACAAAAGGTAGAAAACAGACTCCCGGAGGGACGCTCCATGCCACACAAAATCTAACTGCAGACAATTTCAATGTTTGTTGTTTATCTTATATACAATCTGTTTGGCTTCTTCTAAGTGAGCAATAGGTCATTATGATTATTTTACTAACAGATTATTTGAAAATATGTGTTCTTGTTAGTTTCTGTTTCTTTTTTTTAAACCCTTGGCCAATAAGCATCTGCCATCAGTGGCTTAGCTCCCTGTAAACACAAAATCTCACAAAGGAAAATCAGGGAAGAAAGGATGGACAAAATAAATAGACCCAGAGGCATGGCAGCACTTAATCACAGTTATTCTGCCTAAGCTACACTCAGCTTGTGTTTATGGCTATTCCCAAATATTTGGGGCATTACTACAAACTGGAATGTTACTGAATACTGCAAAACTTGCTGTGTGTTCATGATCATTTTTAGCTCATAAAGTTATGCAATAACTAGCAATAGTCCTGGTATGTTTTTAGTACTGAATCAATGTCAAATACCAGTGTAAATTAACAATTTTAACAACAAAGTTAAATGTGTCTTATACTGGTATTTGTGTAGCAATGCTTATATATCCGGGGAATAAGACAGTTGCACAATAATTCTTCCATAATAGACCATTCTTAGACCATTGATTGGCATTTCAGCTGAACTCAACACATCCACAGAAAGATTGTGAACATTCTATTATTTCCTAAGACCATGATTCTTCCTTTAAGAAAGGCAAGAAAGCACACTAGTTATGTTTAGCAGAGATTATTACATTTCAAAAAACTTGCTAAATAAGAATTGAGAATCTGAAAGGGCAAAAACATTTTATCATAATGAATTAACACTTGCAAGAAATAGGGTACATGCTGTTATTAAAATTCACCATAGTAAAAGGAATTCTCTGAGCTGAAATTATGAGTAGGAATTTCTATTCAACCCATGCCACTGTACTTCTGTGGAACTGAGACTTGGATCTCTGAGGAGGAGACATTGGCTACTGGTATGGATGTCTTGGAGGGAATGTGAAGAAGTGAATGCTGCAAATTCTGCCAACTAGATTCTTCTATTGCTATTGGAATAAATTATGCTTTCCAGTGTAAAGAAACAAATCTGGGTAATAATAATGATAATGGAAAATGTAATAAAATGTCTATTTTTTGGTCCATCTTGAATTCCCCTTTAAACATACATGCACTATGAAGAAACATGCCCTTGGGGAATCCAAATCCCACCTGTAGATAAAGGAACCAATATCTTCACAAGTGACACAAAGATGTTCATATTCCCATCCTACATCTGCATGTTTGGGGATCTTAATTTAATTGAGTGTTTCAGGCCCATACATAGTTTTACCTCATAATTATCTTGAGTATTATATTATAAAAAAACAATGTTCAGTAATTATTTTCCAGGCTTCAGTAGTATTTTCTTCTTTTTTAGAGTTTGTATAGCTGAGTGCAGGCAATTGTATGAGAACCACACATAGACATCAATATGGGGCCAAGTAAATTAAAAAAAGATTTGCTTCAAGTATGCTGAGTACTCCAGAGAATATCTTCCATTTCTGAGCAACTGACAGGAGAAACAAATTCTTTCTTCAGTCCCACCAGAAAAAAAAAAAAAAAAAACACGAAGTACCTTGAAAACACTAGTAAAGAGTAAAGTTCTGTTAGAAAAAAATAAAAAGAAATGTTACAGAGGTTTCACAATGTAGTACAACCTGAATATTGCTAAAGTGATTTTAAATGGGCAGTTTTGGAGCATTCTGGACTTGTATTGATGCACTAAAGAAAAGTTACTGGGTTTTAGATAGTGAAAAAAGTCATGGTTAAGTTGTTTCTGATTGTAATTACAGAATATGGCTTTTATTCATGATAGCAGAAAATGTGTTACCCAGGAATAATATCTGTCTCATATGCAAACTTATATTATCAAGTGATAGATAGTATCCTAATTTACAAGTGTAGGGATAATATTGTACTAGTTGTGAAGCATATGGTTTGCAGTGAGAAGATGTGAATTTAATATCTAGATGCACATGTATCAACAGATTGATTTGAGATAATTGCCTCTTCTGTTTTCTTTCATGAACAAAATGGCATAACACTCCAAACTTACAAAGCCTAAAGTAGAATTAAACCATTTTAGTGATTTTTCTTTTTACCACAAATGACCAGTTGGACATACATTTAATTATCTAAAGTTGCATATGAAATAAAGCAGATAGCAGATAGCAATGCTGATGACACTAAAGAAAAAAAAAACTTGCAGAAACTATCATTCTAATTTGCAGTCAATTGCCTTTGAAATGGGGCCAAGAAATATTTGCATATGAATCAGAAGCAAACTGAACTGAAAATTTTAAAAAAGTTTAGTAATTTTTAAAAAGCAATAAAATCATCAATATCCTGATGGCTTTTAAGAATAATTTGTTCTGAATTTATATGTAGACCTTATAAATAAAGTGGGAACTTTAGCTTGTTTAATGGGCTCTAATTTGGCAAGAGTCAAACATGTTGAAAGTAGAGTTTAGGGATGAAATCTAGTCAGTCCTCTGGTTGTTTGTCATGTATATATTGTAGAAGCCTGACTCTCAGCAGCTCATATTCCATACTAAAGATGCTGTTAGCAGTAACTACATAACAACAGTAAGCTTGATTCTTGAGTAAAGAAAAGAAGTATTTTTAAAGGGTAATTTAGGACCAAATGGATATTTATTAAAAATTCCTTGAAATTATTACTGAAAAAATTTTGCTACTTGGTAATATAATATATACACATGTAAAACATTCAATCTTCAATTTTTTTCTGTGATTTCAAAATCTTACTCTTTATTGGCAAAAATATAAGCATAAAGGCAAAAAGGAAGAAGAAGAGGTCCAGCAAATTGCCATTGATTTGGTAGAGCTTCTACTAAAAATAAATAAACCATACAAATTAAACATGAAGGAAATCATTTAGGAAGGTTGAGAAATCTTTTTAATATACCAGATTGACATATTCTTTGTGCATGTCTATATTTGCACTGTTGTTTTGGTTATGTAAAAAAGGTAGAGATGGCTAAAGGGAAAACTCAGATGACAGAGTTTGTTTTGTTGTATAAATGTAGGACGTTGTTCATGTATTTTCCCAAAACACAATTATTGTTACTATACTATATACTAGTACTATATATTCTCAAAGTAATGAAGTGAGTATATTCACTATCTGTGTTTATGTTAAGATGGCACTAAATTGATTTTATCCAAAGCACACCTGCTTTAAGGATAGGGAATGAAAATTAATATCCTTCTTCTAAGAGACAAGCTCTGACAATTTTATCAAATAAATAAGTATTAAAATTAGGCTTATCAGCTTTTAAATTTTGCTAGGATGTAATAATATGAATCTCTATTTAAAGCAAACAACAGTGTAACAATAAAATATGTAATTTAAATGTTTCTGAAATGAAAAATGAAGCTTCAAATTCTTCTAAGGGCTACATCAGTCTTATTACTACTTTTATTTCCTTGACAAATAGAGGGAAGGTTTTTGAGTATTCATTTCAAAATTAACCTTGGAAAAGGGAAGATATACTCTTGGTTTTGTAATATCCATTATCTATTTAAAAAGTATCGGAAGTTTTTTTCTGAGTAAACTCTATTAGGGGAACTAAGATACCCATTAGAAAAGAGTAGAGATATAATTGTAAGAACTAGTGAAATAATATGATGACAATAAAAACAATTTAAATACTTCAGCCAACCTTTGAAATGTTGCTTTCATTCCATTTTGCTTGACTGTAATTTTTTAGACAGCCTATAATTTCTAGTGAGTTGTCCTTACTCCCAAAGCTATTTATAAAGATAAACTAATTTTATTTACTGAAGAGTGAATTCTGATGAAAAAACTAAGCTGTCTTCTTGGTATCCCAGCTACTTCCTTCTTCATTTAGACACTCTAGCCATTCTCCCAAGCCTAGAAAATTAACCCTTTTCCACTTAGCATGCTACAGTTTGTGCATTAGAGCCATGCCCAGATTCCTTGCTTACATTTCTGATAACCCAAAGGTGCCCAATGATATTTAAGACAGCTTCCAATTCCATTAAATAGTATAAACATTAGAATTTTGTTCACATTTGAAGTACCCATACCTTCCTTTCATCTTGTTTTTATGTTACTTACGACATTAAAACAGTTAAGCTCTAATGCTTTCCACAGTCACATCAGAGTGGCACAAGGCACTAGTAAAGATCCCACCTGATTCTTTGATAGAGAAAGCCACTGGGCATTGAGAGATGAGGCCTGGGAAACCCAACACCAGACAAAGGTTCTGGAACACAGCCTGTAGAGTATGACAACATACTGACAAATGTTTCAGTGACCTAGAAAGTGGCTTTAAAGATTAAAGAGCATTGTGATTAGGTTAACAATGATGTGGTGGTTAATTTTCTCAGCATGTCCACCAGAGTTCTTATCTTTCTGGATTCCCAGACTCATTGCACTATGCAGATTTTCTTTACCCAGTAAACAGGTTTGTTTATTTAAGGAACATCCTCAGAGCACATGAAAAAACGAGGGGAACCTTTTACCTTAAATGGTAATTTCTCACGTGAAGACAGAGCCAAATGGCACATTTTCTTCCTCTTGATTTTCTTGGGTATTGTTCCTTGATGCACTGACTTAGGGAACTCTTTGAATTCATCTTATAAATAACTAATGTACACCTTGTTTTGTGATGGAAATGAGGGGCAGATTTTCTTGACCCTTCTGATTTTCAATTCTCTGTTGTTACGGATTGTATTCACCACCCTTTCTGCCTCATCCAGCTGTGGGCTTTGAAGGAAACCCAAGTGTGCTGACATCTACTGCTCTTTGCCAGTAGGTCCTCTGCCCTCTAGTACTTTGCCAGTTCATGCGGGATGGGGCCTCCCTTGACCTCTGCCACATTTGACATCTTTTCCCTTCTAGGCATGTAGGAGATAATCTTTGCATTAAAAGGTCCCTTTTAAACTTAAGCATTGTCCTTTTATCTTATTATGTAATCTTTATAAATATTTTTGAACAAATTATTGAAAACCAGTTTATATTTTACCATGTTCCCTATATTAGTTTCCCAAAAGAGATTATAACATTTTCAGACATATATGTACACAACATGCACTTCTATAAAATAACTTCTTCTAGAAATTTTTTTCACTATTTTCTTCCTGATCTAGTTTCTCTTCTCTGAATTGCATATTGCCTTATTTTCTGGATTTCATCTTCATTTAATTATTGACTGTTTTAAATCAATTGCAAACTAAAATTTATGTAATAGTGTCAAAATCAAATACCTAACAACCATCAACATAAATCAATAATGTCTTTTCTTGTGTTCTTGGAACTATAATTATATATCTTTTTTGTTAGAAAATTGTTTTAAAAAATAAATGCGTAAATATAACCCAGCATTTTGTCCCTAAGTTGTTATGCTTCTCAAATATGCTATCATATAAAAATTGCTGCATATGTGTTTGCTTAAGAAGTAATACGAATCATTCAAATCTCTGAATGACATATTTCCATATGTGTGTTAACATTATATACCTTTATTCTTTTGCTGTTCATTGGAAATGCATTGCTGTAATGAATATCAGCTTTTCTTTCAGTCATAGTAGGACATTTACTGATTTTCTTTTTGGTTAGAAAACGTTTCGCTAGCTCACTGAACAAATATCTCTTTCAATTTGCATACGTGGAAAACACTCAGAATAACCAAGTGTTCTAATTATCAGTTCCCTATAGTGTTTTGTTCAACATGTTTGTAGCCTTGTGCTAGCTCTGTTTCCTTTAAACTCGGCCTCAGTTAGAGGGGCCCCTGATTACCTTAAGTACCCTGAGAGGTTGGGTACCATTTAATATGGTTCCTACACTTTCTTCTTAAGTTTGTTTTATTTCTACTTTTTCCCTTTACACTGAGGATTCTTTTTTTTTTGGTTTCTTAGTTTATGATATGTGTAATCATTCCACTCTCAAGTAAATTTAAGTGCCCAATATATGTATAAGTTCCCAAAGTGTCTGTTCAACATTAAGGTAAATTTGTTTGCTCAAACAAAGAAATATAGCAGAGTACAAAGGTTGACCTGATTTTGGCAAATTTCATTCTGCCTTCAGAGCAAAGCTCCTTTGCTTTATTATAACAGTTTAGAGTCAGGTCAAAGTCTAACTTGCAGAAAGAACATCCCATTGCCTTCTGAAAAAAATTGAACTAATTAATAAGTATCTTGTCTGTATAATAAACAAGGATAGAAGTATACTTGCCAAAAATTTTATAGTTATTCTATGAATACTTCCATGTGTTTCATAGAATGTTTAGGCATTTTACCAACTCTCAACCATTCATGTTTGTGAAGGCTGTTTGATTACCATGGACGTGTGCCTCCGCCTCCTCGAGCTGTCATTCCACTGAAGCGTCCCAGAGTGGCTGTCACCACCACACGCAGGGGGAAAGGCGTGTTTTCCATGAAAGGGGGATCCAGATCTACTGTTGGTGGGTCATCTTCATCAGGCTCTAAATGTAAGTACCTGCTTTATTTCCCTTTAAACTCAGCCTCAGTTAGAGGGGCCCCTGATTACCTTAAGTACCCTGAGAGGTTGGGTACCATTTAATATGGTTCCTACACTTTCTTCTTAAGTTTGTTTTATTTCTACTTTTTCCCTTTACACTGAGGATTCTTTTTTTAAAAAGTAGGAATAACTATTATTGATAAATGCCTACAGCATTCACTACCATTCAGCTACCTGGTAATTATCTATAGTTAAATTCCTCAATAGTGCACTACAGTAGACAGACAATAAAAAAGATAACCTAGAACTGAATTTAATCCTGGTAAATTACACTGTATTCTCTGCTTTATTGGTGTGTGATAGAATGAAGCCTGGAAATAGGACATGTTGCTTTTAATGGAGGAACACTGTCACTTTAAAAAAGTTACATAGCCTTTCTTTTCAGAGAAACATGTAAATGGTCTATGCTTCAAATATTTTTGGAATAGGATAACCAAGATTCAAACTGGGAAAATGATATAATAGAACTTTTTAAGCATAACTTTGCAATTATCCTAGGTTACTAGGAGAGATATGCATCTGAATAAATAGTTCCTAAATAATTAAAAGTCCTTCCACTATTTCACCTAGTCTGTAAATAGTGGAGATGCCAGGTTTCTAGCTAAGTGTGTATATTAGAAAATTTTATATAGACTGATTGAGGAAAATCTCTACATTTGCATTAGGATATGATTGCTAAAGAAAATAATAAAATTTTCTGTCTTTTTCAAAATTATGTTTTAGTATAGAAAAAGTAGTAGATAAGGTGTTACACCATTAGCATATGACAAAGAAAGTCTTAGAGGAAACTGGGAGAGCTGTGGTTTATACAGTGGCCTGTGATTATCTGTTCCCAGGAATACTTGAGCAGAAACATGAAGGAAGTGAGGGCAAGAGCAGGTACTCTTAGCATATTCAGGCAGAGCAAGGAATGGTAGGTAGACATTGGAACCTCCACAGTGAAGGAACAAAGAAGCCATTGAAGCTGGAAAAGCAAGAGAGGGGAATGTGCCTCAAGACAGGCACCAGAGCATGCCTCAGGGCAGCTTGCTAGATTTTAGTTACTCAATATCACAACCCTTTAAGACATAGATAACAAATACCCCGGTTTTACTGATGAACAACTGTCTTTTCTTATGGAAATGTGAAAAAAGCAGATAAGCAAATAAAAAACAAAAATCATTCACCTCAGATCTGACACTGATGACAAACCAAAGGAGCAATTCTGTCCAAGTCTATTTTAGCGATTCAGTGATTTTATCAGGGCTGCAGGGGCATGGTGGCAAGGTTATTCACAGGCGTTCCGAGGACTCAGGAGCAGCCACACCACTGAAAAGCCCACATCAGCATGGCTGATGATTTAAGAAAGCAGCATACCTGGAGCTCCCTGCACGATTTGCGCCTCAGCTAAAGGACTCTCTCTTTCTCTCTCTCTCCTTTTCCCCTCTCTCCAGTAACTGATATAGCTTGTATAACCCTGGGTGGCAAAGAGGCAGGCATGAATCTTGTACACTATAGGAGCTTCCAGAGACTCGGGTGGTAGAGCTTAGTTTCTAAGTCTTAGGGGCCTCTCTCCAAGTGGAAATGAGTCAATGTAGAAAGAACAACTACAGGATATCAAACACAGGGCCGAAAACTCAAACTAGCGTCACTGCTAAAAGCCAGACCCCTTGATTCTCACACCAATATAGTAGGTACTTCGACATCATCAGAAATATTAAAATACACTATCAGATTACTCTATTTTTTATGTGAAAGTGACCTATGACATAGTTCAAGGACAAGCTACAAACGATTTCTAGAAACCTGAGTTTGGTTTGCAGAGTTCACTGAGATGTTGCTTGAGCTAATGCAATCACAATAGCAAACATAGATTTGATATTATGATGTCTATTCTGCAAATGGACAGTGTGAATTTCATCTTGAGTCAGAATGTGAGAAAACTGATGTCTGGTGAAACATGTAAACACTCTAGCATGTCTTTAAATTGACATTAAGAGTAAAAAATGTTATTGAATTTGGCTCTTGTGGAAACACAAAGATGAATTTGTGTCTAGGTTTGCACCATTTTTTATATTAATGTTTAAAAAAAGACAGAAACATCAAAAGCACTGTATACTTGTTGTCCAGGGCTCATTCATAAAGTGGTCTACAAGCAGAAATGCCACTGGCATCTCTATATGCAGGTCAGCACTGAGTCTCACACTCAACTCTACAGAGCATTTATAATCCCTCACCTCAAACCCTACGGCCGAGTAGCACAGTTTAAAGTGCATACTTATCACTTATTGAAATACTTGCTTCCAAATAGCCCCACCCCCGGAGATGTTGCCTCCTGATCTTAGACACACTGATTTAGGATAATACTTGGTAGTGTAAGCCATGGCCGTTATCTGAGAGGTACCATCATTATAAAATCAACTGTTTAGTTGTCATGTGTTACCAGGAGGGGCCTAAGGAAAACAGAGACATTTAAAGGTTGTTTTGAAGTTACTATCTCAATATTGAAATTATTCAGTAAATTTTGTTCTCCTTTTTTAATTTCTAACTGTATTAAGAGGATAAGAACTATAAAACTGCTTTCAACATCTTATTAAGAATTTCTCTCAGTTCTGAAACAATGATTCCCACCAGGTAGATTGTCTTCTCCTGTGTGCACAGAGACATGTTTCGTAGTAAATAGATGGTAGATTGGAACACACATCCTCTTTAGAGTTGCTTTCATGGTAGAAGGTTTATACGTCCAATCCTGAATATTCTAAAAATATGTAAAGTCTTCCACGGTGGGAGTGAATCTATGAAATGTTTATGATTTACTTATTTTTATTTTATGTGTATGGGTGTTTTTCCACACATGTGTTTGTGTACTATGTGCATGCCTTATTTTTGAATGTTTCTGAATACTGAAATGAAAATAATACCTAATTCCATCATTAGTATATAGGATAGCTGTTATCTCAAGTGTCTTACATATAAGTTCATTCATTATTCATTAGTATTGTGTGAATATTCTCGTCACTTCCATTCTACAGGTGTAGAAAGGCAGAAACATGGAGAAACATCCCTGAAATCACAGAGTTATCATTAACAATGGCAGGAGCCATATCCAAGACATGTGGTGCATGGCGTAAGTGCCTGCATTTGTATCTTTCAGCAAGTTCTCTAAACAAGAGAACTATAAATGTTATGAAATATGATATTTCATTTGTTATTTTAACCTTGAATTCTGCTTTATATGATGGTTTATTTTGACCTTTCCAACTGGAATTATTGGGTGGTACTTTTGTTTCCTGTATCAGTGCCCTAAAGTTGTAACAATCAAAGCTGGGAAAGCTAAAGGAGCAAGAATTTAGAAGCTGCACATCCGGCATGTCTGAGAGTGAGCTACAAAACACAATGTACTTCCGGTATCTCTATGTACATTCTCTTCTCTGCTTAGAAGTACACTAGTCTAACTGGATTAGCTCCCCTTAATGATCTCATCTTGATGTTTTCTCTGCAAAGGCCAACTTCCAAATATGGTATTTTTCAAGGTAGGAAAGACTAGGGCTCAAAGACCCCCAAAGAGGTACTTTCGTAGAAGGAGACCTGCACCCAGGAATCAGCGAGACCACAGACTTGGATGCAAAACCGCAAGAGGTTTTATTAGAGACGCGGGTACCCGGAGAGACTTAGCTTCTGTGTGGCTAAGTGCGCCGAGCCAAGGGAAAGGGGTCCTTATATAGGGAAAAAGGCGCAAGTTAGAAGCAGGGATTCTATTGGATAATTCTAATGAGGCATTGTACAGAGCTATTCCCATTGGTCAATGTAAATGAGGCGCTATACAGGGTTATTCAAATGAGGCGCAGTACAGAGTTATTCAAATGAGGTGAAACACAGAGTCTTTCAAATGAGGCGAAATACAGAATCATTTCTATTGGATGGTTCAAATGAGACACAGAGCCATTCCAGATCAGCATATTCTCAAGGTCTGGTGTCTGGTACAACAGACTCAATTCCCCCCCCTCCGCGTCCAGATGGCTGACTTTGGGGGCGGAGACCTTGGGACGGAGTGTTTCTCATCGGGCGGGGCTCAGGGGCAGGGCTCCATGCCGGCTCACTTGGTGTTCGTTCTCGTGCCGGCCCACCTGGTGCTCGAATATCTTTCAGGAAAATCTATTTTAACTCATAACCACTTCACCACTTTTTGTGTTTACTTAAATTCCTTAAAACACCATGCTACTGAGTTTGGCCTAAAAGAACAACTAAAAGTCTGTTCATTTATATAGTTAAATTTATACCCTTTACAAGTGGTCAATTAAGTAACTTATTCAATCCCTTTTCTTTTTGTTTTGATTTTTGGTTTTTTTTTTTTTTTTTTTTTTTTTTTTTTTTTTTTTTT